GCGAACATATGTGCTGAATTACGAAAGCTGGCGCCACAGATAATCGATTGTGAAAATAGCTTTTCGTATAGATGGATAGCTAAAAAGGCAAACCTTTCCCGGTAATACCTTGCTTTCTATAAGCTTTATATTTTCCGTAATAAATAATATAATAGGATAAAGAGGATCGGTGTAAGAAAACTCCCTATTCATTCATCATGAAATCAGTTAACGAGATTTGATTGATACATATTGCAAAAATATTCTTTTCACGAATCAACAAAAAGAGATTTCATTAATTTTCCTTTCAAATATATTGATAAATATCTACCTAACGATTTGAACAAATAGAAAATTTCTCTGATACTTTTTTTTACGTTAATTAATTTTTTAATAAAATGGATTGTAATAATATAACCAAAGTTATTTTAAATTTGATTGTTGTTGTTAATGGAAATAGTAACAGTTACAAATTATTATTCTTGAGAGATTCTGAATAATTAAAAAATGTATAAAATATAACAGAGACGTATATAAAGAATAAAATATAATTTTATAACTTAATCTTCATAAATTTATAATGTAGTTTTATAAATGTTTTAATAAATACATATAAAAATATTGATTTGGTTTATTGATTTATGATGTTTTATTTATTTTTATAATTTTAAAATAAAATAATCTTAAAATAGCTTTATTATAAATATAAATTATATATCAACATATTATATCTTATATTATTATTAACATTTTAGTTTAAAAATACTCTTATATATATATATATATATATATATATATAATAAACAAATTTTTTAATTTTTATTTACGGCATTTCATGAAAACAATCATTACTACGATTTGTTCTAATTTGCTTCGTACAGAAAATTCAATGGGAATATCGTATTTCCTAGCGTATTTAACGAATACGTGGATTTTGTTATGTTAAAATTATGCAACGTTAAATTACTTATTATTAAATCTTATCGAAATCATACGTTATCAAAAAACAAATTACTTTATTGGAAATACTATTTATCTTTATAAAAAAAGATCTTTAAATAAAAAGCTATTTGTACAAATATGTAGGTAGTAGTTAAATATATTTTTTATAGACAACATTTATTTAAATTTAAATATTAATATTTTATTATATGTTTTCTGCTTTCTATACTTATTATTATTATACATTTATTGCTTTTGTTATCTGAAAGGCTCTTAGAATTCTTTAATTGAGATATTAAAATAAAAATTAATTTTTATGTATATGTAAAACTTGTACAATAGTTTATAATCAAGAAAGCGGAGGAAAAGCATATAGAAATTAGTTAAGTGAATAATGGAGATAAGGGTTGAAGCAACGTTTACACGTTGTTTTGGGAGGAAAACTATCAGATAACAGATAATGGGTATGTGACCTCAGCGAACGTGTTACGAAATTTTTATGTTTTCGCTGTTTTTCAAATTTAACGAAGAACTTGATATTATTTTTCTTTATTAACAACATTATTTGAAATTATGACATGACATAAAATATATATATCTTATTAAATTAAAATTACACATTAAATTAAAATACATGTTATGTATATACATAACGAGATTAAGTTCGTTTATGTGTACCGAATAAATAAAAATCAGCCGCGTATTTACCTTTATTGCATTCTGTGAAAGAAAAGAAGGACTTAATTGCCAGATCGTGTACAGCTATAGCTCTAGGCAGGAAGTTGAAAGGGTCTATCTTTTACTTTGAGGAAAATGCCAGCGTATCATCTTTATTATAGAGCTAGTCCGAACCGCCGCAAGACGGATCGGCTGTCCCTTGAAGCTTTCTGAAGGAAAATCTAACCACCCTCTCGTTCAATTGCCCTCCTACGAAGGCGGAGGTGTTAGGGCAATTTGTCTGGAATGTCTCCTTGCAAGCCCCCATGACCCGTTGTTGAAAAAAAACACAATAAAAGAGTGGACGTGTTCTCAACTTCAATTACGGATTTTATTAAATTTTAATTTTATATTATATTTTATATTTTTATTTTAATTTGGTATCACAGAGTTAGTGTCACAGATAAACAAATTTACAAGTAACAAATAGTAAATACTTTATATTTAAATAAGAAGAAAATTTAACATCAAATAAATAAGTAATAATAGGCAATTTCTATTTGAACGAAAAACTTATATGTTTCTTTTCTCTAAAGTTAAAGAGATTTTATGATTTCTCTAAAGTTAATAAGATTTTATTTTTGCGAGTAATGCATGCTAAGATTTTATCGATAATTAAATTCTTCTTCTCCCTCTTTTTTAAGGCAAAGCCTTAAATTAAAAAAAGGAGGGGAGGGGGTTGGTGTAACTCTCTCAAATATGAAAGCAACGATGATGTCGGTTTTAATTTATTTATTATTTGTATTAATCTAATCATGAAGGGTATTGACTATATTGAGCGACCGGATTTGATTACTGAACTAACATTGAAACACTAAAATACTGAAATAATACATCCAAATATTCTGTGGGCAAGAATACTGCCGGGCAAGAATACTGATTTGTTAGACCGAGAGGAGACATGAGAGGATATAAAAATATTTTGATCTTATATTTTGATCTCGGGACTCGAATCCAGATCTCTAGCATACTAGATCAATGCACTGTCTACTATTCCACACTCTCGATAATTAGATTATTTATTATATCAAAATCATACGCGCTAGAAGATTAAATTATAATTTTATATTTAAATAAGTGTTTTTTAAAAATTTAACATTTTAATTTGTAATTATTTTGATTTATATATTGCACTTTTATATTTATATTGTAATTATTTGATTTATACATTTTTATATTTTCAAATCTAGCATTTGATAATTATTTACTTTTAAAATTTATCACTGTTACAAAAACAATAATAAGAAGAGATCTTTAATAGTTTTTGATAAAAAATTTAAATATATTATTTGAGTTCCTTTTTTTATTTCTCTTGTGTCACAGTGACTTTAACTAAAAACATACATAATTAATCGATCCAGAGGAGTTGAGTTGTGCTTTGAATTTATTAGAAATTAATCAAGAGGGATATATATATAGATATATTTAAGTAATGGTCTTGTTGATGCTTTTCTCGAGAGCTCCTTTCTTCATCAACACTGAATTTATCTGCTTGTTTTTTTCCTATAAGAAATTTATCTGTATCTGTATCTGTATCGACAATTTTGTTGAAATATTTTCATAGCTGAAGAGAGATTTTTTTTCTCGGATAACATTTTATCCAAGGAAATTATATTATTCATTATATTAAATATAAACTCAATATGTAATGGGCTTTTGAATCATTAACTCAATATTCATGATCGTTTATACAAACCAAATCTAAATATAATTGTAAATATTAAAAGTCGTAATTAGTATGCGGTTCATTAAATCGCGAATTAAAGCGATTAGTGCTCTCAAAGAACTCTGCGTAAGGCAGATAATAATCAACTGATTTTCTCGTTAAAAAATGCATTATTCAAGTTATTAGAGAGACAAACAATCGTAGCATATTTTCGATTAATGGAATAATCGTTAAACGGGAAACTTTAAGTAGAATAATAGAGATTTAGAAAATTGATTTTTTGTTAACATATTTATTGACGATTTCGGGAATTGTTATTTTATGTCTCAAACCACACATCTAACAATAAGTTCTTTCAGTCTAATACGAGAAACATTTTCAAACATTTTCTGAAAATAAACATGACATGAATATTTTTGCTTTAAAAAGAGATGAAAATTGCATAAATGAATGTTTAAGTAACAGAATATTCCAGCAGACATATCATTTAGTTAATTCTAGGAGATTCTATTATTGTAGATTCCATAATTTGCCTCGATAGGGAATTGAAGCCAATCGAAAAAAAGTCGTACCATTTTATTTTAAAGGGAAATGTCAAAAAGATGAACGATTTTATTGCTCAAGCAGGTGAACACCGGATGAATGAAAGAATGGATGCGCGTCGAAGAGAATGATAGTGTCCGGAATGTTGGGGCAGTTTATTGCAGCACCATGTTTTTTCAAGCGAGATCCCTTTCGGAAATTATAAGTCACGCATCTACGAAAACATTGTTTTTTTTTATCTAGCGTGTGAATAAGAGACTCTTCAGAGAGTTCACTCTGTTCAATATTCTCAACGATATGATGTACGATATCAAATGAGTGTTTGTATAACATTACCTTGTTTGATTTATTAATGAGATTAAGGATATTTTATTAATGAACACGTAATATTGTTTTGAAAACAATTAGATTAAATGTATGCATAGCTATTGAAAATTTAATATAAATTATTATTAATGTATCTATTAATAAAATTTTAATTATTTATTTTACTTATATAATTAGGTCTTTCTTTTTTTTTTGAAGTATTTATATTTTATTACTTATAATTATTTTTTATATATAGTATTCACAACGTGTTAATGTCATAGATAAAGTTTCAGATCAATATTAAAACTTTAAAGAGTAAAATTTCTATTAAGGCAAGTTTGATGTTGGAGAATTTTAAAACAAAATATCAGAGTTTACACACGAATTTGATAGTTCTCTCATTTTGTGTTTCGCATGTTATTTAAAAAAAAGATAAAAAGATGCCAAATACACGTATCTATAAGAAAATTGTTTTATAAACTATATTTTTATAATTAAATAAAATTATGGCAGTTTTATTGTTACAAAGAATATTATTTTCATTTGCACAAAAATAATAATATCAAAAGATTATGTTAATTAAGAATGAAAAATTATACATACAATTATTTAAAAAAATTTTATATTAATCGGAAAAATTTGCTGTATAAATTGATATAATAATAATAATAATAATAATTAATAATTTTGCTTATAATACTATATTATTTTACAATTTTATTCGACAAACAATTAATTTTAATACTTATTGCACATTTATATCTTTTTAAAATTTTAATTTAAAATTAAAAAATTTTTTAAAAGAGAAAATTTTGAAAAAGACATGAATAATTTCTTATTACAGGCAAGGCTGTCCCGTTCGTGGAATTAACTGTTGCTCACGCTTCGGTTCTCACAATTTTAGCAATCAGTTTCGAACGCTATTACGCTATCTGCGAGCCTCTGAGGGCGGGGTAAGTATATACGATACTCTGCCTGGAATTACAGCGAAAAGCCGCGAATTTAGATAAAAGCAAGCAATAAAGAGTTAGGCTTATCCGACTTAACCCGATTTCAACTTATATGTTATATAGATATGTGTGCACAAAGGCAAGGGCAACCTTTCTTTGTTTCTTGGCGTGGGTGGCAGCAGCGATTTGTACAAGGTGATACAAAAGAAAGAATTGAAAAAAAGATCTGTAATTTGCTTTAATTAATGCTCGCCTTTTTTTATTCGTTCCTTTCTTCACTTTTTCTCTGGCTGACGCATGACCTTTTTCACTTGACTCTGTTCATGTCTCGTTTTACGTCATCTTCACGTGACCGTAATACGAAGCCACCATCTACGAGCCTTATTAACTTCTGCCATGAAGACTATGTTCTAAAACGTGCGCAAGAACCGATCGGTCTTAATTAAAGCTCAATTTAGGCGAATATGATTTAAGATAAAGCTCCAATGACAAAAAAATAATTTCAATAAATTGAACGTCGAGAAAGAATAAAAATCAAAGTTTATTTAAAAATCACACTTTTAAGTTATTTTCAATAAATTGAACGTCGAGAAAGAATTCAAAGTTTATCAACTTTTGTATTGTTATTTTTTGTACATATCATAATTTTACGTTATTCTTCAAAAAAACAGCAATACTTTGTAATATTTTTTTCCTGTATTTTTATACATGTCATATATGAATTGCACGGTTTTTGCAACCATTTAATCCAATAAAAGCTTATAAAATTACCCGATGTACATATAGCATATATGTCTTTCTAAATTATTATCCGATACATATATCATATACTTCTGAATAGTGAATATAAATTTTGGAAATTAAAAATTCACTCTGAAGTTTATATATATATATTAGAAACATTCTGAAATATATATAAATATATATATATATATATATATATATATATATATATAG